GTTAAGCCCAGGGCTTCCCTGGTGGTGCAGTGGTTGAGAGTCCGCCTGCCGATGCAGGGGACGCGGGTTCGTGCCCCGGTCCGGGAAGATCCCACATGCTGCGGAGCGGCTGGGCCCGTGAGCCATGGCTGCTGAGCCTGCGCGTCCGGAGCCTGTGCTCCACAACGGAAGAGGCCACAACAGTGAGAGGCCCACATACCAAAAAAAAAAATTAAAATGTTAAGCCCAAACCTACCTCCTTATAACTTCATCCCACCTGATCTAATTTTGCCTTCAGGGGCTCCCAATGCCCCAGCCCCACCTGGAAGCACTCCTACTTTCCCTTCCACACGGTGACCATTTAGACATTTGAAGCCAGCTGCCTCGCCTTGACTCAGATCAAAACTCAGCGGTTCCTCACACTCAAGCTCAGTGCTGGAGCCGGGTAACTTTGACAAGGTGGTGCATGTTAGTGGACGCGACCCTCCTGAGGTCCTGACGGGCGCACGGCACCGGGCCAGGGGGCGTGCCCCACTGTGCACGCCAGGCTGCACTCGAGGTACCCACGCTCGTGCCCAGCCTGGCTACTTCGCATGGACCGCTGCCAGGCCACATCTCCTCAATTTGGTGCCCAGGCAGTTGACTTTTTGAACCTTGGGGGGCCCTGCCCATTTTTGCCCATCACCTTTCATCCCCTGGTAGCGGCAGGGTGTTCTGGCTAGAGGAGATGCGGAGTATTGATTCTGTCACTCAGCACACCGGCTCTCCCTAATGACTCTGTGTCATCTGCACATTTGATATGCATGCCTCTGATGTCTTTATCAAGCCACGGGTTCTGCCGTTCAGCAAGCCGGGGGGCAGCAGCCCACCAGGGCCCCTCGTGGGAAGGCAGAGAACTGTTCACTCAGCCACACTCTGGGGCTACTGGTACTACATCAACTGGGAGTCCACCTGCCTCCCCGAGCTTTTCCGGACCTCGGTTCCAGCAGAAGCTGAACCTTCTCTTCCCTGCAGAATCATATGTGAGAGCCAGTGTGTGGGACAGGAGCGGGGGCTGCTCTGGCTGAAGGCGGAGGGTGCTTCCTCTGTCTGCACGTGCCCCAAGACAGCAGCAAAGAAGCAATCGGAAAAGCCCAAATCCGGGGACCCCGACGTTTGCTCACACACACCAGGCCGACTTGCAAAGCTGAGGCCAGCCCGGGAGAGAGGTGGGGACGTGGGATCACGCCTGATGCCCAAGGCCAGGCCCGCCCTGCTGATCAATGTGCGTGAAGCAGACGGCAGAGGACGGGGCAGCGCTGGGGCCCAGGGAGAAAATGGAGGCTCCAGGCCCCTGGAAGAAGTGGCATCCCTTCTTCACGTGGGAAAAACTGTCAAGAAATGAGCGCAGAGACGTGTGTGTGTGTGATGGACTCGCTGGGTGAGGAAGTGGAGCTCTGCCAACACATCTTACCCTGCCTTTGGCCGTGAACTTCGTGAACCATTGTGCCCCATTCACCGGATACAGCCAAGGGGACTACCCGTCCTGAAAGGACAACGCCACGTCTGGCCGCGCGACTAGCGTTCTCTGCAGTAACAGGGAGGAAAGAGGCAGGAGATGCTCGTTCTGAGGGGCAGTACCGGCCGCTGGAAAGGGAAGGCGGCTCTGCCAGGACCACGAGGGCCTCAGGTGTTGACCCATCAACAGAAACTCCACCAGCTGCCCCTTTTGTCTGACATAAGCTGGGGATGACAGTTCTCCAAAAAATGACAGGAAATTCTTTGATATACGAGTGACAACGAAAGAAATGTAGGCAGCGAACACGTTTTTAGCTTTTCAGACAGAAGCTCTGGCTCAAGAAGGCAACAAGGTCGGCTACTGGCCCTCCCTGACTCCCTTCCTTCCCCCGGGGATTGGCTGGGAAAACGGCCCGCTGCCCACGGGGAACCGGCCTGCCTGTCCTCCAGGCTCCTCCAAATCTGGTCAGTAGAGGGCGCTGCATCACCGCACTCTCCCTCCAGCCTGGGCTTTGCAACTTGATCCCTGTGTCCACACAAAGACCACAGCTGAGGTATTTCTTATGCTTGTGGTTTAATAGTACAGGAGAAAGAAGCAGCAAAAACAAACTTGCTATTTTATGATATGATATCACCTATGTAAAAGTACACAGGAAATACAGCCAAAGGTTATGAGCCTTTGCTTACTGGAGATGGAATTCGTTTTTGTCATTATTTTCTATACTCTGTCAGTTTTCTACAAGCTTGTATTCCTCTCATAATCAGAAAAACCTGAGGAGTCTTCAGGGACTCAGGAGCTGCCTGCGGGTGGGAGTGGAGAGGCTGCAGCCCAGGGTCTGAGGCTGTTGGACAAGCATTTGTTGCAAAACTGAATATATGCCTGCACCTGGGCTGAGCTCTGGGAAATAAGGCACTAGACACAGTCCCTGCCTTTAAGGAGCTTACAACATGAGTGAAGGTATAATGGCTGAGAAGCGCTCTGAGGGGAGAGCCTGGCACAGGCACAGGGCACTCAGGGAAGGCCTCCTGGGAGAGGCGGCATTTGCGCTGACATCTGAGGTGGGGGATGGGAGACACACCTGATGGACAGGTGTCCACACGAGCAAAGGCACAGAAGCACAAAACAGGAAGGGGAAAAGAGGCTATTGGTTCAAAGTTTGAGGCGTGGGGACAAGAGAGAGAAGACTAATCCTGGGATCCAGACCTGGAGGCCTCCATCCTACAGGCCCACCGCAGACCCCCAGCGGAAACAAAAGCCTCATCCACAGCTCACCACCAGAGAGAAAGCTGTTAGGTTCCTCTGCTGGACAGATTACAGGGATGTGAAGCCTCACGGAATAACATACTCATCATTTCATAAATCTTCAGTGGAAAATTTGAAAAATCAGCATTTCATTTCTTTTTTTTTTGCGGTATGCGGGCCTCTCACTGTTGTGGCCTCTCCCGTTGCGGAGCACAGGCTCCAGAAGCGCAGGCTCAGCGGCCATGGCTCACGGGCCCAGCCGCTCCGCAGCAATGTGGGATCCTCCCGGACCGGACCGGAGCACGAACCCGTGTCCCCTGCATCGGCAGGCGGACTCTCAACCACTGCGCCACCAGGGAAGCCCAGCATTTCATTTCTTATCAAAGATGCACAATAGGAGAACAATACGAAAACTGAAGAATATAAAAAAACCCTGATGAATTAGGGGGCTCATGTAGGTGTACAGGCCATCTGTAAGTTACTGCATAGTGAGAGAGGAGAGCTTGGGACAGACAAGTGGTTTTTACTGAGAAGCATTAATGCAACATTCAATTATCCTACTGCATACTGGCTGACTTAACTCAGTCAAATTAGAATACATTTTATATTGACTATTTTGCCATTTGCTTTATTTGGCAAGTAAAACAAAACCGATCCAATTTCCTTGAAGCCATTGTAAACCATAAAACTGTACAACAAGAGGTTATAAAATACATAAGCCTCACAAGGCTTGTTCCCACGCACTATCTCCAGTTCTGCGTGGCTCTCTGTGGCCTGTGTTCTCGGGTGCCCTGGCTTCAGTTCCTAGAGCCCGTGCGCCCACGCTGACCGGCTAGCTTCTGGGGAGATAGCTCTTCCTGCCTTAAGTGGAGAATCTGAGCTCTTCCTTTATCTCACAGGAAGTTAAAACCTGCCCTGAGGTGGTGCCTATTTCTAGGCCCTTCCAGACCATATAATGTCAACAGGAAGCAGCTGGAACCTCTCCAAGGCGACGGGCCTGAGCTGACCCTGAGCACACGTGACGGGAACCGCAGCCTCGACGGTGCCCTGGGCAGTGAGAAAGGAACTCCAAAGTGCTACAGAGCTGTGCGAGCCTTATACTCCTAAACCAAAGACGCGCAACCCTGGGAAGCTCATCAGCTAGTCATATCTCTTCACACCAAAGTGAAACTGAAAACTGTCAATACTCCTCAAGTTTCAGGCGATGGCAGGGGTAGATACGATTAAGTACCGCTCTTGGTTTGTGAAACTGTCGAGAGTGAAAAAGGCCAGACTGTCTTCTGGAGGACACCCCGAAGGACAGGCCCCGAGCTGCCGGCTCACGGCTGTGCGTTCGTCTGAGGCAGCGGAAAGCCCAGCAGAGGAACAGGGCGCAGGGGACCGCCTGTACCACCCTCTCCCCTGACTCCTGGGGGCAGGGTGTGGACCGTGGGGCGTGGGGAGGGGGAAGCACCCAGTAATGGTTTTGTCCTGTTCCTGGCCGATTTTGCACACCTCGAACTGCCCACGTGGAAGCTCTGAGATCCGTCCTCATTTATGTTACGTCCAGCTCCAAATGGCACCACCTCACCACTTCGTACTGGTTTTATTTACTTTTGTAATTCCTTTCTCAAGCTTAGTCTATCATTGCTGTTTGTTCCCTGTCCTCAAATAATTTACTGCTAATGATGCAGAGGTTTTTGATCGGACAGAAGGTGTTGAAACCACTACTGCCTCTGCTCCAACGGAAATCAGGTGCAGAGACCAGTCTGCTCACCCAAGTTTCTCTGTGGAAACAACTATTAAAACTAACAGCCCCTGAAAAACTTCTCACTATTCTCTCCTACCCAAAGTACCTATCTCTTAGTTTGCAGCTCTTTGGGAAACAGGAACAATATGGAAATGAACAAAACTACCTACCAACCCTCCTGGAGTTGAAAGAGTTGCTGGCCAAGGCAGAGAAGGAATTCCACCTTTTACGGCCAGCACTCCCAGCAGCGTGGCTACAAGTCATGTGTCTGTGTGCGACTGTGAGCTCTTTAGAATAACAAGCCCATTTTAAGTTGCATATTCTGCTATGTTAGGAGCCTGCAGAATAGGTGCAGTACAGAATGGCTTTTACTTTCATGTAACGCAAAGATTTCTAACTGGCTTTGTAAAATCTCCTCTAAAGGTATATCGCTTCTGCAATGTTTCCGCAGATACCAGGTGGAGGGGTTCTAAGATGTTACGCAGTGGGACCCAAGACCACATGACTCTGTGACATGCATAACAGAACAAGATGCCACTGACAGGGCCTCACCTGGGAAGGTTGGGGGCTGGGGTGGAAGCAGCTGATGACTGGGAGGGCGTCGTGGGTTGAGATGAGTCATGATTTCTTGGTACTCTGCCCATTCGATACCAGATCCCCATGCTGTTCAACTCCCTTTAGGAGAAAAGAGAAATCTTCATGGCACCGTTTAACATAAAATTACCTGAGCTACAAAGCAAACCAACTCATTTAAGAGAATCGCCTCAGACGCCAGGGAATCGATTCTCGCCCATGAAGGTGGGTTACATCACCTCCCTTTGTGCTCTGGGCATCACAGTTCAAAGCCTAGCGTGACGGCAACTGTCCCAACTCAGCAGGCCCGTCTGACGTGGCCATCTTCTTCCCCCACCCCTGGGCCTGCCTTCCTACTATGTACTATCAACATTTTCCTTGGTTCTCGGTCTGCAAAATTCTTTGTATTCCGCCATTTCATTGTGGGTATTTGTGCGATCATCTGCTTCAAGTTCTTCGTGTGGTTAGGGCGAGACAGATAGGGCACGGGGCTGACACGTGTGCCTGGTATTTAGCTATGGGGAGAACTAGCCCCACCCAGCTCCACGCCGTGCCGCCCCCTCCCGCTGCCCCCCACCTCCAGGGTACAGCTCCTCACTGCCTGGTGTCACCTGGAGTCAGCCTCATTCTCAGGGTCAGTCTGGGAGACATCTTCACAGAGCCCGAGGCATGTGCCCCATGAACCACCACAACTAAGGGTAGTGACAACAGGACCCGACGGATGCCATGTCAGGGTTCCTGTTATTTGATATGCACACACCCCTGCAGCCCGGCCCCATGCCCCACGGTCACAAGTGTTTATGAGACAGGCATACTCGCAGGAACTGTAACAGGATTATTTTAGACACATCAACGTCCAACTGCTCAGCTGCCACACAGAACTACACATTGGGACGTAGAGGAAGATCATCCCTCCAAAAAATGAGAACAGATTTATTCAGAGGATTCTTCTGGTAGCCTCTCAGTACACCGCGGAACTATTCTGAACCACAGCCGTGTCTTATCAGATGGTTGATTCCAATCAGCTGCACTGATTTTGCCACCTCTCGGTATCAGGCCACAGTCAGGCCTTGGAGGAGCTGTTCCCAGTCTGACAGCCCCAGACCTTTGCAAAGTAACCTGTGGAACTGTGCCCATTTTTAAGAAACAGTGACAGAGCTCTGAACACTGAGTTCTCGTTCCTTAAAAATAACACTGGAATTGTCTTCCTCTGAAAAAGAATTTTTGCCCCAAGATGAAACAAAAATATACTTTATTTAGCAATCTTTTCAAAATGATATAAAAAAAGGATTCTAGTTTTGATTACCAAGACATATATGGTAAGAATCTATTCTTTAGAATTGTTTAAATTGGTTAAAAATTGAATCTTTTAAAGTAGCATAGTGTGTAATTTTAAAGAACTGAATACACATAGCAACTGAATATACATAATACATGTAGTAATTATTAAATTGTTGGTTTCTACTATTTGTATGCAAATGGCTGTTTCTAAGATACCTGAAGTGTGGTTATTTTCTTACCTATTTTCTACTTCCATAATCCTGTTTCCATAATGACTTTAAACCACGTTGCAAAACAGGATTTTTGAGTGTGTAGAAAGGGTATGATCATAGAGTCCTTTTTTAAAAAAATTAATTATTAATTTATGGCTGCGTTGAGTCTTTGTTGCTGCGCGCAGGCTTTCTCTAGTTGCGGCGAGCAGGGGCTACTCTTTGTTGCTGTGCGCGGGCTTCTCATTGCAGTGGCTTCTCTTGTTGCAGGGCACGGGCTCTAGGCGCGCAGGCTTCAGCCGTTGTGGCTCGGAGGCTCTAGAGCGCAGGTTTTGGCTGCGTTGGGTCTTCGTTGCTGCATGCGGGCTTTCTCTAGTTGTGGTGAGTGGGGGCTATTTTTGTTTGCAGTGTGTGGGCTTCTCATTGCGGTGGCTTCTCTTGTTGTGGAGCACGGGCTCTAGCCGCGCGGGCTTCAGTAGTTGTGGCTCGTGGGCTCTAGAGTGCAGGCTCAGTAGTTGTGGCGCGTGGGCTTAGTTCCTCCGCAGCATGTGGGATCTTCCCGGACCAGGGCTTGAACCCGTGTCCCCTGCATCGGCAGGCGGATTCTTAACCACTGCGCCACCAGGGAAGCCTGAGGCCTTCTTAAGGACCACAAGATCTTGAGACAGAGAATCAGATTCTATAGCTGAAGAGTCCAAACAAGCTATCGTGCACCGAGATGAAGATAACCTCTATTTCTGTGACACCCGCTGCCCACGTGCTTCAAGCAAACACCACAGCTCTATCTCTCTCTCTCTCTATCACCCAGTCTGTGAGCAACCTTCAAGTAAAGGCCGTGGCTTTTCGAGTAAAGAGGAGGGTCTGGGCTCAAATGAGCAAGATCCAGGAGGCCGACCTCAAAAGCCAAGTAGTAGAACGCATCCATGATGTAGGGACCCACAGGGATAAGCAAGAAGATTGCAAAGCCGGCCAGGGAGAGGCACACGGCCAAGAGGCCGAAAACCCTCAACCACACTATTAATTTGAGAGACCCGAATTTCGGCTGACTGAGTATAATGGGTGAACACCTATTATCTTTTGGACATTCAGCATCCCTTCATCCCTCTTCTGACTCTTTACCTTCCCTCCATGTTCGGGGAGCAGCCACCCCTCATTCCCAGTGCCTGAGTTCCAATGGAGCTGACCCCACTTTCAGCTCAGACTTGGTCAATCAGAGATTGACATTTTCCTGGTAGCAGCGACGGGCTCAGGGTGCACGTGACCCCAGTGAGATCAATCAAGACCAAGGCGAATGAATTCTAGAACTTCTGAATACTGGTCAGGAGCATGGTGTCCTGAACCAGCGGCCTCCTAGGTAGGAAGGGCAGCAAGGAGAGCTAAGGCCAGAGGCTGATGAGAGGCAGACGGCTGAGCCCACGGGTCACACAGAAGGTCTCAGGACCCGGTCCCCAGGGGTGACGTGAGCACCCTCGGCAGACAGCAGAGATGAGACTGGGGTTGTTGAGACTTACCCAATGAACGTGTACTGAGGAGGGGCCTGCTTGGTCCGGCCCATGATCCGAATGTCACAAATGGCAGCTTCCGTTGAGTCCCGTGGGATGAATTTAATGCACAGCCTCTTCTTCCTAAAAGCCACTTCCTCTGAAGGAAAGGACAAGAAAAGGGATGAGTCTTCCAGAGGTGCCCACGTCTCCGTTTTCAACACCATGTCTCCTGTCACGTTCCCTTCCCGGCGGTGGAAGTGACCAGCCATCCAAGTCACCCGAAAGAAGGGCTGGACGCAGGGCTGCTGTGGACAGGCCCAGTCACCCTGCTCTGCATTCGGGGCCTGACCCCCGACAACCCCTGCCGAGAAGGGGCCCAAAGGGCACACACACCTCTGCAAGGAGCATCCTGGAATAAACCCACGACTACAACCTGCTCGCTGCTCCAGCCATCAGATACAAACACACATTTGTTTGTATCCTGAGTGTCAACACATTTCACTACATGGTCATTTTTCTTTTTCACTTTTTTAAAAAATTTTTTATTTATTTATATTTAAAATTTTTACTTTTTGGCCACGCCACATGGCATGTGGGATCTTAGTTCCCCGAACCAGGGATCTAACCCGCGCCCCCTGCTGTTGGAAGCGCGGAGTCTCAACCGCTGGACCACCAGGGAAGTCCTTTTTCACTTTTTATTACAGAAATTTTCAAACATTCCCCCAAACAGAGAGAACAGTAAGATGAATCCACATGTTCCCATCATCTGGTTTTAACACTGTCAACAATGGGCGACCTGGTTTCAACTCCTTCCCCCACCCCCTCCAGCTTTGCTGGAGATTTAGAGTGACTCCCCAACACCATGTCATGTCACCCACCAAAATCTCAGTAGGTATCCATGGCAGGCTTTTTTAAAAAAATTATTATTATTTTTTACCATGACTGTTATCATTCCTAACAAAATGAACAATAATTCCTTAACATCATCCAAGAGTCTATACTCAAGTTTTCTCCATTATCTCAAAAGTGTCATTTAATTGTTGGTTTGTCTGGACCAAGACCCAAACACCGTCTGTGCACTGCATTTGGTTGTTAGGCCTCTTTTGTTCTGTGGCAACCTCTCCACCTTCCCTTTATCTTCAGGGCACTGATAGGATGGAGAACTCAGGTCACCCCCTGTACTTCCTGTAAACCGGCAGAGTGAAAGGCTCGATTCGATTCCGATCAGGCAGGAGCACCCAACAGGTGATGCAACGTACATCCGACGGTGTCACACGTGCGGCCTGGGGCTCAGCTGGGCCACCCTCGGTAGGTCCCACTGCTGTTGGTACCTCAGTTATAAAGTCCCCAACAACCATGCTCATGAGGTTTTCTCATCCCCTGATGACTGTTGCCTAGATTCATAATCTCATTAAAGTCATCAACATAGTGATTTTCTGTCATTCCTTCTGCATTTATTAGCTGGAATTTTTCTATATAAAAAACATCTTATTTTTCAACTACCTGGTCTCCCTGAAACATGCTTTGTTATAGGAAAGGAGAGATAAATATGTGATTCTTTTATTTATCAAGTCTTAGAGTGATGAGTTGGTACCCCAGCTAACTGCCAAAGGTGAACAACCACCCACGTGTTTTTTGTTTGTTCATTTGTGGTTTTTAAACATGACTTTCAATCAACTGCAGCCATTCAGTACACGAGTCGGCTAGATCTGGGGTGAAATTCCAACTCCACCACTATCCAGAACCATAATCTTAGGCAAGTGACTTAAGTTATCGGTAAAAGGGAGTTAATGAAACCTGAGGCCATAGGGACACTGGGTGGATGAAATGTGATGACACATATGCTTCCCTTAGCCCAGTGCCTGGCACACAGAAAGTGCTCAGTAAAGAACAGCCATGGGGCTTCCCTGGTGGCACAGTGGTTGAGAGTCTGCCTGCTAATGCAGGGGACAAGGGTTCGAGCCCTGGTTTGGGAGGATCCCACATGCCGTGGAGCAACTAGGCCAGTGAGCCACAACTACTGAGCCTGCGCGTCTGGAGCCTGTGCTCCGCAACGGGAGAGGCCTCAACAGTGAGAGGCCCGCGCGCCACGATGAAGAGTGGCCCCCACTTGCCACACTACAGAAAGCCCTCGCACAGAAACAGAGACCCAACACAGCAAAAATAAATTAATTAATAAACTCCTACCCCCAACATCTTTTTTAAAAAAAAAAAAAAAAAAAAGAACAGCCATGGATGTTCTTACCATTATTTTTTTATTTTAATTTTTTGTGGTATGTGGGCCTCTCACTGTTGTGGCCTCTCCCACTGCGAAGTACAGGCTCCAGACGCACAGGCTCAGCGGCCATGGCTCACGGGCCCAGCCGCTCAGCGGCATGTGGGATCTTCCCGGACCGCGGCACAAACCCGCGTCCCCTGCATCGGCAGGCGGACTCTCAACCACTGCGCCACCAGGGAAGCCCCTCACCGTATTATTGTAAGTAAGCCTCTGGCATACAATTTGTGTCAGTGTTTGGCATTGATTTTCAAGACCTTTCAGTCCTGTGGCAGGAAATAAGCACATTTAAATCAGGGAGCAGGATAAAGAGGGAAGTGCAGTCCTGCTGCTGGTCTTGATTTTTACCAAGGGGAGATTAGAATCAGGTGCTGATATTTTGGGGGAACCAGATGGAAACTCAGAAACTTTGTGGGTTCTTTTCCTAGTGAGGAAACTGAGGGCTAGACCAGATCTACCAGCTATGAGTAATAATACTGGATACTGAATCCAGACCCCAAATATCGTATCCAAGAAGGCAGGGGTGGTAACTGGAGGTAAACTGTCCGCAGCAACCCTGCAGCTTCAAAAACTATGAGCTGATAAGATCAGGCCTTTGAAAGTGTGAAGGAGGAGAGACCTTTCCTCAAAGTAAACTAAGATGCAGGTCTTTTATGTACTTGCTCTGCCAGCTGCTCTTTGCTCCATTCTTCCATCTGCAGCAAACTCCGGGTAAGAGATGGAGCCACTAATTACACATGCTTACACAGGCCTGATTTTAAGCAAACATACAGAGTCCACAGAATTGTGTTCAGTCACGCTAATGAACACAGAGAAAGGACACAGCACTTTACTAAAACAAACAGTCTTCCAGTTTTTTAAGTGCTATAGAGATTGCAACAAACCGTATTTTAAATTAATTACAGGAGTCTCATCTTTCTGGCTGATTTTATAAAATCAGGACCCTAAATGCTCTCAAACATCACAGAGCTGACCACACGTTTATCTGGTCAGCTTGAGCTCACCTGTCCCTGGGTAAAGGCTCCATGAATGACCGCATGACCCTAAATGAATAGGTGACCCTAAACTCACCCTTCCTTGTGTGATAAGACACTTGTTGGAGGTGCCAGGACCCAACCTCAGAATGTCCATGGGGCAGCAACCAGTGCACCCCCCAGTCACGGTGGGGGGACTTCCCAGGATCACTGGGGCCCCACGGCAGCCAGACCAGGACTCAGCCCTGGGCCTCCTCGCTCAGCTGGTTCAACAAATCGAGAGGAAAATGCAGGATGAGAACTCCCTTGGCTCTATAGTATATCAATATACAGACATTTTAAGCCACTTAGTTGTCAAAAACGAATGACAATGCAAATTTTAAAACTAAGAAAAACACAGGGGAAAAGTAGAAGTTAATACAAAAAGTCTACAAGGCAATTTTAGTTCTTAAAGAGACCATTCATATAAGAATAAGCAAAAGCAGCGAACACTTGTGAAAATATTGTTTTGCTAATAATAAGTGAAAATTAAACAAAATTAGATAGTAAAACTAAATAAAAAATGTAAAGCCTATGCTGGCAGGCCGGTGGAAAACAGGTACAAGCCACGATCATTAGTGGCAACATGAATTGGTATTCCTGGAAGTTAATTTGGCAACAGAGGATAATAAAGCTTATCTTTATTGAGCCCATCCTCTGATCAAGGCACTGTGTATGGCAGGTACCTTAGGTGATTCAAAGATGAATTAAGCACAGATATTGCCTTCGAAGAAAGTAAGTAGCAAAGATATGAAGAAAACAGGTAAATATCCACCCCCCATTTGAGGAAACTGAGGCCCAGGAGGCTGAAGTCATTTGCCCAGGGTCCCTCATCTGTAAGTGGCAGAGCCAGACTCAATATTAGAAGAGTCTGACTCCAGAGCCCAAGTTCTTCCCATGATGCCTGGTGCAGTCTGTCCTAACAGAGGTAAAGACGGGAACTCGGAAGCAGAATCGACCACTCCCTTTGGCTTCCCACCACTGTTCCTGGCATTTGCTTACTCTCCGCCCTCCCTTCAACACAGGTGTGCTGTGCCAGGCAGGTGAAAAGCAGTAGAGAAGGCAGGTGGGGCCCCTGACCTCTGACTGATTACAGCCACCCGCCAGACTGAGCTCCTTGTGGGTTCTTTTCCTAGGCTCATCTTTATATCCCAAAGCCTGCAGTGCCTACAGCAGACACACATCCATTGTGGCTGACTGTGGAGAGGAGAGAGAGCTTGCTTCAGACTCACATCTAGGGATCAGAGGCTGTTTCACGCAGTCTTGAGCTCGCCCTTGAGAGACATGGGGTGTGGATATTCAGAGCTGAGGGAAGGGGCTTTCAGGCCAGGAAAACAACAATGCAAATACTTGGAGTCCGAAAAGAAAGGAGCATGAAGACGGCACAGTAAGTGGCTCCGTCTGGGTAAAGCATGGGGTGCTTGAAGGTAAGAAGTATGTTGCAGAGCAGGGGTCCCGAACTCCCGGGCCGTGGACCGGTACCGGTCCTCAGCCCGTTAGGAACCGGGCCGCACAGCAGGAGGTGAGCGGCCGGCGAGCGAAGCTTCATCTGCCGCTGCCCGTCGCTGGCACTGCTGCCTGAGCCATCCTCCCCTCCCCCCGACAAAAACTGTCCTCCACGAAACCGGTTCCTGGTGCCAAAAAGCTTGGGGACCTCTGTAGAGGAAGGTCGGGAACAGGCCGTAAAGGACACATGACCCAGCAGAGCCTCAAGTGCTTGTAAACGCATCACAAGGAAATCATTCAAAATCTACACACGTTCAAACTGATCTTACAGATTCAACACCATTCCTCTCAAAATCCCAGCTGGCTTCTTTGCAGAAACTGACTAATGTTAGAAGTCACGTGGAAATCTGAGGGACCCAGAATAGCCAAAATCATCCTGACAAAGAAGAACAAAGTTGGAGGACTCATACCACTTGGTTCCAACACCTGCTACAAAGCTCCAGTAACCAAGACTGTGTGGTTCTGGCATAAGGAAAGACATATATAGATCAATGCAAGAGAACTTGGAGACCAGAAACAAACCTTCATGCTTACGGTCAACTGGTATTCAACAAGGATGCTGAGACAATTCAACGGGGGAAAGAACAGTCTTTTCAACAAATGGTGCTGGAACAACTGGATACTCACAAGCAAAAGAATGCATTTGTTTAAATCAACTATACTTCAATAAAAACATTTTTAAAAAAAGAACAAATCTGAACCCCTATCTGGCACCATTCACAAACTTTAACTCAAAATGCATCAAAGACATAAATGAAAGAGCTGAGACTATAAAACTCTTAGAAGAAAACACAGGCATAAATCTTGGTGACCTTGGATTTGGCAATGGTTTCTTGGGTGTGATTCCAACAGCATGAGCAACAAAGGAAAAAAAAATAGATAACTGGAACTCCACCAAAATAAAAAACTTTTGTGTTTCAAAGGACCGCATCAAGAAAATGGAATAACTGTACATCAACTATACCTCAATTTAAAAAAAGAAAAAAAGTGAAATGAAAACCCACAGAATGGGAGAAAATTTTTGCAAATCATATAACTGATAAAGGACATATCGAGAATATATTAAAACATTTTTACAACTCAATCATAAAAAGAAAACCCAATTTTAGATGGGCAAAGAATTAGAATAGCCATTTCTCCAGAGAAAATAACAAATGGCTAATAAGGATATAAAAAAATGTTCAACATCATTAGCCATAAGGGAAACACAAATCAAAACCACAACGAGAGACCACTGCATACCAACTAAGATGGTGAGAATTAAAAAGAATGACAATAACAAGTGTTGAAGTTGTGGAGAAACTGGAACCCTCAAACACTGCTGGCTGGAATGTAAAAGGGTAGAGCTCCTTTGAGAAACAGTTTGGTAGTTTCTCAAAAAGTTAAATATGGAGTTACCATATGACCTAGCAATTCCATTGCTTAGGTATATACCCAAGAGCAATGAAAACATACGGCCACACAAAAGTTTGTGCATCAGTGTTCAAAGCAGCATTATTCATAATAACCCTAAGTGAAACAACCCAAATATCCATCAATTGAATGGATAAGCAAAATGGTATATCCATATAATAGAATATTACTTGGCAACAAAAAAAGGAATGAAGTGCTGACATGCTACAACATGAACCTACCTTGACAACATTATGTTATGTGAAAGAAGCCAGACACAAAAGACTACAGATTATACAACTTCATTTATATGAAATGTTCAGAACAGGCGAATCTATACGGAAAGTAGATTAGTGGCTGCCTAGGGCTGGCAGGGGGGTAGGGAGGAGAGGACTAGGGAGAAATGGAGATTGACTGCTAACGGGTACAGTTTCTTTTGGGGTGATGAAATGCTCTAAAATTGATTGTGGTAAGGGTTGCACAGCTCTGCGAATATACTAAAAACCACCGGATTGTAACTTTAAATGGGTAAATTGTATGGTATGCGAATTATACCTCAAGAAAGCTGTTATCCCCAAAACTCCAATACATAAATATATATAAAAATCTATTGGTAAAAGGTGCTTAAACACATGCTTTTACATAGTGGCACTATGGTTAAACGTGTGGCGAGTCACGCTTGTGTGTGTCATCTAGTTATTCCCCCACTTCTAGATGTGTAACCTTGGATAAGCTCTTTAAACCCTAAGTAGTTACTGTGCCTCATTTTTCTCATATGTGAAATGGGTATAATAATACCCATCTCCAAATAGGGGTCTTACTGAAGATTAAATGAGATCAGGTATGTAGAGCGTTTAGCATAAAGACACACTAAATACCAACTATCACAATTATTAGCTAATACACGTCAGTAACAAACAAAAGCAGCCCAATGTCCAAAAGTGAGGAGACTATTAAGACAAGTAGGCTATACAATGCAATCCACTTGTTTCATTAAAATAACAACTATGTGGGGGTCTGTGTAAATAGGGAAAGTCTGGTCCATAAGAAATGCTTGCAAGAAAACAGCAAAAAAAAAAAAAAAAAAAGAAGTAGGTCCAAAATGGGGCTAACTATGGAAAAATAAAGTATGTGTGACAAAAAGTGAAATGCAGAGTTTCATAAATGGGTCATGTGTCATAAAGAGAGGATTCTGTGTATTTGTTTTTTATTTACTGCATCACTGTTGTGGATATCCTAACATTGGTCATAAGTAATTTAAAATAGAACAAGTTATAGCACATCAAAATGAGGAGGCTCAACTACCCAGAGGTTTCCAGCTCTCTTTGACAACCGGCGTGCACAACAAGAACCTCGAAGTGCCCCAGGATCCCGAAGAAGAGCCGACGTGTCAGCCACTCACTCCCGCTCTGTGCTGCTCAGGGATCAGAGTCTTCCCTCAATTTCGGATCCTGAGAACTCTAAGCTGCAGTCTTTCTGGTTCTGACTTTTCTCGTGTACTCCAAGAGCCCAAAATGGAGATATTATTGCACTTGTGATCCCTGCGTGCTTTTGGTTTTTTCCTTTTGCTTCTGGGTCTCATGCCAAGCTTGGCTTCAGCAGCACCGGAGAACGGGCTAAGGACAAACTATAACCGGTTTCACTGTCCCCTTCCTGAGTGAGCCGATTCAGCAGGGAGCACTGTTCTGCTCATTTACATGCCGCTACCCAGAACACTGAGAACTCCTTGGAGAACCAAGTCAGGCATATGTCAAAAGCAGCAGGGTTTATTTGGGGCACGCAGTAAGGCCTCCTAAAATGTTTCCGAAGAAAAATGCACATAAAAATGTCTAAAAATATACCTGAAGGAAGAAAATTCTCATCGTGACAAGTAGTAGTAAGGGGTGACTCACGTGTGTCTACCGTCTCCTGAATTGGGATGAAGCCGACAGGCAGAGTGTCCTTGATGTCGATGAGCTTCATGTCCACTAACACGTTCCCTAAATGGCTCTTGGGAAGAAAGAAGAGAGATATAGATGATTAATCTGAACACGCCTGTAGTGGGTTTGCCATTTTGGCTTCAAAATGCATATTTAACACAAGACTTGTGCAGCTTTACGACAGCAGGTTAATTAGAGTAGGTGTCATTTAATGTTCCCCAGCAGTTACACAGGGACTCTGCTGGCCCCCGGGGAGGAGTTTCATCTGCAGAACCTCAAAGCCACTCACTCAGATGTGGCCTTGGTTAGCAAGATGAGCCCTGAGCATCAGCTCTTGGGGTAGCAGGTTTAGAAAGAGAACATTCCTGGGGTGGTCGCTGCACAGGGAGAGCTGCATCTCAGCCTAACAGAGAACCAATCACACTCCTAAGTGATCGCCAGTCTGCATACTGACACACATTTCGGTGGCTAGACACATTCTGTAAAACCCCACGAATCATAAACTCATACACAGTGAAAAGCCCTGCTGCCTAATGTTACACATCTTCTAAAATGACACGCACAAGGGCCTCCTATAGCTGCTACTTAGTGGTAGTGCACGCGGTCCACAGTGCGCCGTTTCCATAACCAGTGCAAAAATATCTTCGAAGACAGCGTGCCATCCTGTAATTGCAAGAGAGAATTCTCTGCAAACGCACTGGCACTCGCAGCCCACATTTCAAGCTGGAAACAAGCTCTAAAGCGATCTACCCTACAACTTAGATATGTGGGCCCACCTCGGAGATTTCATTAAATTCTTCAGTTAAAAAAAGAATGATGCCTTCTGATCCCAAATCTCTCCTGTCAGGATACTAGCAATGCACTTGGAATGCTCACCTTCCAGAAGCACCTCATCCCCACAAGTCCCCATGAGCACACTCTCAGTTTACCTGTTCTGCGTTCCCGGACGACCCCACCACCTTGCCCTGCACAGCAACTCCTCAGGCGTCCTGCTCAGAGAAGGGCGTGCCCCTCCGTCTCTGTGCCCCACCCCATCCTGCGCAGTGCCAACACCATCCCTGAAAGCCAATCAGGGAATTCCTATCATCTAAACTCTACGCTATGTCCTCTCTCAGTACTCTCAATTTTCCTTCATATCAATTTATAATGACATATTTGTGAGGTTCTTATTTAATATCTGCTTCCCCACTAGAGTTTGAGAGCCACGAGGACCAAAACTATCTCTGCTACTACTATATATCCAAGCCTAGCATAGATCTGGGCACACAGTAGGTGCTCAATAATTATCTGCTGAATAAATTAATGTTTTTTGGTACATTTTTAACTGGGCAGGCCACTCAGAATCAGAAATCAAACTGGATTTGCTTGGATGATGAATCTAAACAATATCAATAGATATATTAAAAGTATATTTAATAAATGTATTATAAACCAAAAGTACACAGATGAAATAAATTCTTGAAATTTAGCCATGAAGGTCAAAATGGCAAGTGTAAACTATGACCAGTGTTTTTTCGGCACTGTGGTCACAAAACCGTTTCTCTAGAAATATGGTATTTGCTGAGGATTTAATATTATTACATTTCAGGTAGCTGGGTCTCAGGAAAACAATGCACAGATCAGCGCAGCAAGTGGAAAGCGGAACCCTCACTGATGCGGAATAAATCTCTGACTGTGGAGGAAGGGTCTGAACCATTAACCCAACTCGCAAGCATCAGCTGCTTTCAGAATCACCTGATCTAATCTATCATAATTTTTTTTCATGGCAGTTGCTTTTCCATGTCATCGCTGTTTTCTGCATTGAGAAATTAACAACTGGGTATGTTTTCCTGCCCCATAGATGGACGGGTGTTCATCAATATCCTTCTCAAACGTCTTTTACTTGACAAGCTGGGTTTTACAGAAGTCAACTGCAAACCACTTAGCGACCTCACACTCCACACTCTACAAATGTCCCTGACCATAAAACCAGAACATCAGTGGTGCAGCCATTAAAAAAAAGCATGAAAAAACCCCTCCTGTGCATATGGAACGGGAGCCTGCACTGTCAGAGCTTCCCGCAGCCCAAGTGTGGTCCCTCCGTGCAGGGGCTGCCACTGCACCGGGTTTAATACAGTAAGTCTGCGACACCATTAATTTTGCTTCTTCCTCTCCCCTCCCCCATCCCGTGCTCTCTTTCATTTCCTCCTCATACATATGAAGAACGTACTCCCAATCCTTGTTGAGCAAATGATTCATGCCAAAAGCCCAATATGCACTGACTCAGGGTATTTGTATTGTCTCTGGTAGCCAGTATTTGCTAGTATACTGTAATTATTTTTGACAACCTTGCATTTAAGGTAGCCACAGATAACCAACTTAATATTCAAATGTTCATAAATTCTTCTGTTTAATATCCTCCCTACCTAATCTATGTACATTATTATTACAGGTAATGCAGAAAGTACAGGGCATGAAAAGTGCAATTAATCTCAACCCTTCCCCAGGAAGCAATGTCACTCCAAAGCCAGGTTTCTGTATTAATAGCATTATTGGGGGAAAGGAATTTAGGTTCCAAAGGAGTCTCCCCAAACTCCTACACAGGGAGTCTCAAGTCACCTAATTAAGAATCTGTCCAGTCTTGAGATTCCACATCCCTCCTTTGCAGTTGTAAAAAATTATGTCATGCAAAGTCTTGGCTCTGACAGCAGGGCCGGGACAGACCGGCTGTAACATTAAAATATGCCTTATTCCTGCTCTAATCCTGGGCTGGCAAGTGGGCCCCTGCCACCCCTTCAGCTGTATCCCTCTGGATCTCACTATAGGACCCATTCATTCTTTTAATGAAAATAAAATGCACCTAATTTCCTTACTGCCCCAAAAGAGGGGCAGAGGATTCTCCCACTGCCCTTGTCCTCATCTTGCATCCCCTCATCACACCCACCTCCCCACGTCTGCCCAGCCCTCATGGAGCAAGACACGCATAGCAGGCACTCTAGGAACATCTCCTGAACGTTCGACAAATGTTGACTAAATCGGTGTATTTTCTATCATCCACTTACCCGTGATGCCTAAAATTAACAAGCCCCAGTGACTTCTCTCTATCATTTTGAGACTTGTCATTGTCCCCACTCCAAGGGATCAGGGGGCTCTTCTGGCCTAGAGTACTGACACCCCACGGCCTTCAAGGAAACGCAACAAAAACAGAAATCAAAAATGACCAACGAGATCGTAGCTGTCCTCTGCGGCCACGGTCTCCTCTTCAGTAGGAGAGGCTGAGGCTGAGTAGAGACCAGGAGTGAACACATGAAACCACCAGGCAGAGTGAGGGTGTGAATGAGATGCTCAGCCCTCAGGAGTTGGTCCTCACAGCCCTGAGCGGCAGTGAACACACGGACCTTCTGCAGAAAGGGTAGCCAGTGGGCAGAAAAGAGGTGACAAAAGCTAAGAATACGACTAGTTTCAAAAAAGGTTTAGGTAAGCTCCAGGGACAAAGGAGACAAGAGTGAACTGTATGTGGATGTGGACGCAGGAGGGAAGGATGGGGCCGAGGGGGCACTACCCCTAAGATCACGAGCCCCACGTCTGGAAGGGCAACCCGGCCTTCGGACCTGTTCCTGGGGTTTCCTCGGCTGCACCGTGACCTGAGGGACCTGCTCAGACCCACCGCAGGCTCACCTGCCAGGACTAGCCCCTACTCCACCAGAAACTCTGTTCGTTACAGCAAGCATGTATTACTCTCATCATTAGTGGGAAAAAATTAAAGCAATGAGTTCTCCCTGAGTATGTTAGGAATCATTTTCCTAACAAAGACTTACCCACAAACAACAGGAATGGCTGGTGGAAGAGAGTGTGGGCCAGAGAACTGTGTGACTGTCCACAGCCAGCTTATGCTGCAGGGACGCACGAGGACTGTGATAGGACCACAGGGCTGTGGGGTTTGTGATGGAGAAAGACCGTTGACTTTCCCCTTCCATGCTTCTGAATGGGGATGTTTGAACCTGATTTTTTTCTTTATAAATCATGAACATGTATTACTGTTATAATAAAATTTATAAAAATATTTCCCACCCAATTTTTTTTTTTTTTTTTTTTTTTGTTCTCCACACACCAGGCTCTTTCATAGCTGAATGACTGTGTAATGGCTGGTTTTTTTTTTTTTTTTTTTTTTTAGCATTCAGGCCCAAAATAAAATGTCACCTTAAAAATGAAAATCTGACTTCCCTATTTGCAGTTAGGGAAGACAGGTGGCCTTGGACCAGCATGAAAACTCCCTGATGTCAGAAAGGAGCTAGCACTTCAAGAGCCTATCTGAGGACAGAAGCAGCATATTTGCACAGTGCCCAGGACAGGTCTCACACAGGGTGGACACTCACGAAAGCCACTTCTCTTTTTTCTAAGCCACCCGTTAGAATACTTTGTTGGAAGAGCTTTAGTAGATGTCTTTAAAATTTCCTAATCTATGGGCTTAAGTATTAAAAACAACACAGTAAAAGAAATCTGCCTGTGGGGTGGATACCTACCTGCAGAAACAATGAAATGTCATATGTCAGAGAGACCCGGGGAGAAAGTCCACAAGGCCATGTCTGGGGGAGGGGTGACCACGTGGCATCCTTCTAGCTATGCTCCCATCTGTTGGTCAGCTTTAAATCCAGCTCCCCCGGAAGACACTTACCTCCGTACTACCCTGTGATTTGTTACTTGGAGGAAAGGCAGGCAGACAAGAGCTGTGAGAGAAATCTCCTAGTCTCCTTCGGAGAACACGTTTTAATGGAATTCACTGTACACTTGGGTATGCGGTTAATAATACTGTTAATAAGTGAAACACAGCACAGGCTGCTGTACCCCATTCACTAAAACCACAGATGAATTAACATAGTGATGAAAATAAACCACAACCAAAAAACGAGGAGATTTCAAACAGGAATGTAAATGACTTGTGCTCACTTAGCAAACAGAAAACCACTAAGACTTACATTTTCTTTGGAAAATGATCTTGTGAAGCACAGGTATCTGGTAACCTTGGATTTAAATAAGCCGTCTTTCCAGAGGTCAGCATCCACACCATCTGCTGTCTGTGCAACCTACACCAAAGAGATGGAGAAAAGGACAGCAGGTGAGGCAGGATGCAGCCGAGGGCGTGTGTGAGCAGCTTCTTTGTACCTGCACCAATTAACTCCAGCCTGGACTCGCGCGGCATCTCATTAGTCCATTTCATGAGGCCCTGGGAAGAGATTTTCCAAGAGGGGTAAAGGGAGAGTGTGAAAAATAACAACTTCTAAAAATACTGTCCCTGGGGAAGCCATTGATTAAAGACACACTGACAAAAGTGGTTCTAATGAGAAAAGAGCAAATTTTGTTGTCATGGACCAAGAAGGGATTGGAGAAGTCAGCAAATTAAGTTGCTCATTACCACTTACTCGGGGGACAGTACAGGGTGCAGAAAAAAGTCCAATAGGGTGTGAAATGCCACCTGAAAGGGGCACCGCCCGCCGTGAGCCTGGCACGGCGTCCTGTTCTGTCCGGGACCCGGGCCGGCCAGGGGCTGCCGTCACCGGGACTCTGCTGGGCACTGGGTGGGGGGGGTGGGGGGGCGGGGAGTTGGGAGATGCACTGTTTCTTCTCTGCACAAGCTCTGCGAGTGGTAGTCAAGGTCGGAAACTGTAGCATGATAGGAAAATTTAAAAAGACTCAGCTGCTTGTTTATAGTCTAAAGAGCCATCTTCTTGTATTCAGCCGCAGAAATTTTCCTCTAAGCAGCATTCAAGGATGAAGCCAGCCTTGATTTGAGTCTTACAGGTCCTGTGCATGGGACTGTGGGGCTGCGGCTAGTGGGAAGAGTTCACAAGGGCACGGGAGAGGAGACGGAGGCCGGCCAGGATGCGCTCTCCCCATTCTCTCCAAGATACTCATTAACGGACCATCAGGGCCTGGGCTGCTTCCTCCCACAGTGGCCTAACAGGTCAGAGTATTAACCAACCTCCCACACCCTGGCTGGACCCCAACGGGGGCCCCCCGGAAGACTGGGAGCAGTGCCCTTTTGGGGATGAGCTCTGCAGCTGCCACCCCTGTCCCCGCTAGGGCACTCTGGGCATCTCCCTGCTCGTGCTTCTGAGGCTTAGACTTTGGGAAGCCGTCCTTGATCTGACAAGCTCCAGGCCGTTCTCACAAACTGCTGAAAGCACCTCCATTCTTCATACAAAATGGCCCTGATGCAGCCCCATCCCGTGTCCACACTGCACAGCAGGCCCACGACCTCGGACTGTCACATGCGCAGGGCAGGGGGGCAGGGGTGGCTCCACTGGGATGGTCCCCAGAGCCCCGACCGCCACGCTCTCTGAGGGGGCCTCTGGAAAGCCCAAAGGCCAACTGGCAAAAGAAAAACACATTCTTTCAAACCCAACGATCCTAAGTTAGCAAGTGCAACAAAGGGAAAAGAAAGGTCCTTACTCTAAACACGCAGATATGTTTGACCTGAAACCTGAAGGAGGAGTGGTATGGGGACAATCTCAGGGAACGTCTGCTCCAAGTATGTCACCCTCACAGAAAGAAACACGACGGAACAGGATCAGGCCTTGCCCGCATCTCTCCCCGTAACGGTCATACATAAAGTTTCTCGGAAAACATGAAATTGGAAGCAGTGGCCCCAACTTCCCACTCCCAAGGATGCCTTTTGCTTTGTTTTCTCCCATGGGTTCCATGTTTGAAAGATTTTTGTTTCCCAAACTGTACTTTTATTGTATTTCCTCAGTTCTAAGATGTAGTCGTTTGGGAATCACCCATGGATTTAAAGAAATATCGTATCAAAATGCACAAACCTATTTTAAGATGCATCCTAATTTCAGAACCATTAAAATGTGAAAAGATGCTATAGGAAAAAAGAAATAAGAGAACCTATGTGGTTTCTCTATAATAAATGCATTATTTTTGATAAATTTTTAAAAAGAGAGAGACTGCAGAACACTCAAAGGCTGTGGGACCACAGGCTGGGACTCAGAAGGAAGAGAGCTGTGTCCAACCTCCTACGGAAAAGGCAGGCGGTTGAGAAGGGCTTTCCAGGCTACTGGCAATTCCACCGAGGGGTGTTATGCACCCTAAATCAAGGCTATTGTTTCCAGGGTTTGAAAATGACGACTCCCTCCTCTCACCCACTGCTAGAATTTTCCCTTTTCTGAATGAGAAGACACCTTGTAGGATAAAGAGGCCGGCGCAGGAGTGCCAAGGGAGAAAGCAGGCAGTGGACCTGCTCCCTCCTCAGAGGCCCCCTTCTCTCCTTCTCATCATGGCAGTTACGGTCCTCCAACCCGCTCCTGAGAAACATTCAACACAGACAACCAAAGGCCCAGCTTTGCCCTGAGGCCACGACTCCTTTGCAATGAAGTGAAAATGTGTATCGCCCTCCAACCCCAGCCAAGGGGAGGTGTGGAGGGAGGTGAGGGTGAGAGAGAGGAAGAGGGGGAGAAAGAGAGGGGGCGGGGGAGCGTGTGAGTGTGGTGTGTGTGTGTGTGTGCGCGCGCGCGCGTGTGTATCTGGGCAGAGCGCAGCTGCCCGCAGCCTGGGGCCCGCAGGCCGGCTCCACTGCTAAGCAGGGAGTGGGAAGGTCCGGACCTGGCTCCCAGCCGGACGAGGGAAGTGGCCCTGGTGTAAGAGCCTGGGCCTTCACAGCCCTGCAGTCCGTGGAGCGATAAGAAGTACCCAAAGCTTCTTTACAACCCAGGCACGTAAAGGTGCTGACTAACCTAAACTCTTCCCATCCCAAGTTAGATGAACTACAAGGTAAATGTGGCAGGTGGGCTATCGGGCGCACCTGCAGACCACGTCTAAACTCTGCCCTTGTGAGCTCAGTCCTGAGTCCCAGGATGGGAGGCTGCAGAGGGAGGAGGAAGTGCTCTAGGCATGGCAGACCCCAACCTGACACCCCAATGCTTAAGCAAGCCCCCTACCCTGAGGGCGCTGCAGGGACAGAGGGGATAATGCATGAGATGTGCCTCAGTGCCCACTCAGGACCCCCACAAAGCCAGTGCCAACAGGTCTACAACAAATATGAGGATGTCTGCTCTGACAGCAGAACAGATATTTAAAGTGATACCACACCACGTCAGGATTCGAAAAGCCCTGCATTGTCACATCGGACTCAGCTCCAATCTCCGGTCCTCTGGGACTCCTTCCTCATCTCTGGGACCGGACCTGGTCTCCAGACACAAATCAGGTACCTGTGTGATTAACGTTTACCTGCCCCTACTGCCCCACCACTGGACTAAAAGCTTCACCAGGACGAGGACGATGCCTGATGGCCATTTATCCCCTGCACTAAGCATACTGCCTGATACATATGGGCTCCAACAAAACTTGCTGAAGGAATGAATGAAAGAAAGAATCAGCCAGTCAATCTGGAGCAAAGCGTGAAAAACCAAGGATCCTGCCGACTCCTGGAGTGAGGTAATAAGAATTCTAAAAGATGAAATTTCTAGGACTTAATCCCTTGAACTGAGTGTATGTATCCGCTTCAAAATCACCACTCTGAGGCCACATCCCTATCTCAACAATAAGGCCACTTATTCTTTCGGTTCTTATCTGTACCCTGCCCTGTTCCCCAAATGACTAGAATATGTCCAAAGCTGCTGCTGGCTGCAGCGCCCCCAGAGTGTCTGTCAGAGGGGTTCACACACACACACACACACACACTCTTCTCTCACACACTCACACTCACATACACACTCTCCCACTCACACTCTCATACCCTCCCCCTCTCTTTCTCACATCCTCTCCGGTACAGGAGCTGCCTCTGCGGAGGAGTAGGTGGACAGTGACAGAATGGACACGTGGGTTTATCTCTCTTCTCTGCCAATATTCTTCTAAGATGACAATCAAAGTGGAGGAAGTATTGGGGCCACTAAAATAAAGTGCAAGAGAGGAGTACAACACGAGAGAGATGCCATCGGATGTGTGGAGGTGTGGGAAGTGGAAGGTCTGGGGTGTGGCAGAGTGGAGGTGGTGACGGACGCCCCAGGGCCCTGAGCCACCAGATACCCCTGGGATGAGGGTGGAGGGCCTGGAGGTGGGTGGGTGCGAGTTTAGGGCTGAGACAGGCGGACGGGAACAGGCCTATAAACAAAGCCATTAGACTCCCAGATCCCTACCCCTGTTTCAGAAGTATTTTCTGCAGAAACGGGACCAGTAGGGCTCAGGGCTCCAGAACACCAGACTGATGGGGAAGGAGGTGAAAGAGGAAGACTCCAGAGTGAAAGCAGGGGGTAACTATGCACAGTGAACGGTGACTGAATGGTGGCCCCCTCCAGGCTCACCCTCCTTCCTGCTTCTGGCACCTCGGCAGCCAGGTGTACCCTCTAAATGCTGGAAATTAAAGGATGCATCTCTGGAGAAACTAAAGAGCTCCAGAGAGAGGACCAGCAGCTACAGGCTCTGTGGCCTCCTGTTACAGAGGCCAGCTCCCTGCTGCATCACCCACTGTGCAGCCCACAGGTCATCAGGCCTTACCCCACCGCGGGGATCCGACCCCAGGAGCTAGGGCCTCACTCTTACCTGACAACAAAGGGTCACCAGACATTGGGGGGAGTCTCAAATATGAAAGACAGGGCTCAAATTATTAGGAAAAGGGGAACTTGAAAATAGCACAGATAATATGAGGAAACAGTGAAGGCTAAGGAACAACCAACCAACTCTATAATCAATATCTTCAGAGGGATGAGTGACTACATTGCAACCACCGAACAAGAACAGAATACTGTGAAAAACATTTTAAAAGGAACAATTGAAGACAATGTAAAGAGCTTAGACATAAAAAACTTACGGCTAAAATAACAAATTCAAAAAATATGTTGGAAGAGAAAGTTGAGGAAATCTTCCGGAAAGTAAAATACAAAGATGAGGAGGTTAACTAGAGGGGAAAAAAACTAAGAAAACTGAAGAATCAATACAACATCCAATTAATGAAATTTCCAGAAAGAGAAATAAAAAAAGGAACAAAAGGTGAGCCTCCACCTTAAAGAGGTCCTGAGAGTTCTAGCACAGTGATAAAAAAGCCCCACCCCAAAGCAAAGCAATGGAGAATCCCACCAAATTT